TCGAGTTTAGGGCTGAGGGTTTAGGGCTTAGGGTTTACGGCTTGTTGAGGGTTTAAGGGTTTAGGGTTTAGGGTTTAGGGTTTGTTTGCAGCATACCTGAAGACGCAGGGTTTGAACCCGCAGGGGCATCCCGTTACAAAGGACCTCGTAAGCTTAAACCCTAAACCCTAAACCCTAAACCCTAAACCCTAAACCCTAATTCCCCTAGACAGCAATCCATATTAAGAAGGCCTACACGTACAGATGCGACCCTTTTGCAAGGGTTTGCGCATTAGGGCTCAGGGTTTAGGGTTTAGGGTTTAGGGTTTAGGGTTTAGGGTTTAAGGTTTAGGGTTTAGGGTTTGAGTGTTTTTGCTTCAGGCGCGAGTGCAGCAATACATGCAGAAGGTCTCTCGCGTCATCCGAGAGGGCGAGCCAAACCCTAAACCCTAAACCCTAAACCCTAACACGTAGACTTCATCTTGATTATAAATGCATCTATGATTCCACGTTGTTTACCTAGGGCTTAGGGTTTAGGGCTTAGGGTTTAGGGTTTGTGTCTGCAGGAGAGCAAAGGCCTACTGCTATTAATGTTGCTGCTTCTCACCGATTTATTACCTTTCATACAAATAACAAACGGGGGCCCCACAAGAGAAAGGGGGGGCCCCCCAATGGAGAGGGGGGGGCCCCCGGGGGGCCCCCCACAGGGGCACCCAATAATGAAGGGGGGGCCCCTAATAGTGAGGGGGGGGCCCCCGAGGGGCCCCCAGGGGGCCCCTCCTCAGGGGCCCCAAAAAGAGATGGGGGGGCCCCCAGGGGGCCCCAGAAGAAACGCCGTAAGCTGAAAGGAGTATCAGAAAATGCTGAGGGAGACAATGGAGATGGTGTGGGGAGGAACAGCAGCAACAGCAGCAGCAGCAGCAGCAGCAGCAACAACAACAACAACAGCAGCAGCAGCAACAACAACAGCAGCAGTATTAGTAGTAATAGCAACAAGAAGAAGAAAAAAGGGAAAGGTAAAAATAATCAGGGACAGATGAAATCGACAGCTAACTGCTAGCAGCAGCAGCAGCAACAGCAACAGCAGCCACACCAACAGCAACAACAGCAGCAGCAGCTGCTGCTGCTGGCCATGTCTTCGTGGTTGCTGTTGGTGCTGCTGCTGCAGTAGGACCGAACCCCGAGATGTCTGCCGCAAGAGCAGCAACATACTAACAGCAATTGCAGCACCAGTAGCAGCAGCAGCACCATGTGCAGCAGCAGCAGAAGCAGCTGCAGCAGCAGCAGGTGCAGCAAGAGTAGCACCAGCTGCAGCAAGAGCATCGTTGCTGTGGGCTGTTGCTGTTGCTGGTAAGGGTTTCTTTAAGACCTCTGTGCAATGCGCCGTGCGGTTTAATGTTTAGGCTTTAGGGTTTAGGGTTTAGGGTTTAGTAGGGCCTAGGGTTTAGGGTTTTGTACTTCGAGTTTAGAATGGGGTTTACAACGAAGTTGTATTTACAAACTGAAACCTTTGAGTGCCATATCGTGCTGTCGCCTTATTCCAGTTTAAGGTTTAGGGTTTAGGGTTTAGGGTTTAGGGTTTGCGGGAGCATGCGCAGTTTTTCATTGTCTTCGCGGTTTTTCTTCTCACTAAAGTTGAAATAAAATGAGTTATTTTTATTTTTAATTTATTTAAATTAAATTTATACTCAACAAGAAGAAGATTTCAACAGCAGCACCATTGGTGTGGACAGGAAGCTGCGTATACACCCCAACGCCGGCGCCGACTGGCTGCTGCTGCTTGGGGCCCATCGTACATCATTTTCTCTCGTTTTTTCTGTTTTTTTCATTTTTAAAGCATTTGTAGAGTTAATAATGGGAGATTTGGCTTTAAAAAGACCTAAAAGGTCGAAAAAACGTGCCGGATAGCCGGCGGTTTGCGGCTTCGACGGCGCCCGTCGGTGTTTCTGGTTGGGGGCCCCCCAAGGGTATAATTTGAATTTTTAAGAGAATATTTTCATCTATTATTGCTTTATTGTTTTTGTATGTTGCTTTTGAGCTGCTATTTCATCTCTATTTCGTTCATTTTCCCCTCATTTCCTGCGCCTGACTCCCCAGCGAGACGAACAGCGCGTGAAATTCAGAGGCCATGACTCATAATGGAGGCCTCTTGTCTTCCTGCAGTTCCTTCTCTCTATGCAACAGACATAGGGGGCCCCCAGGGCCCCCGGAAGCCCCAGGGGCCCCGTTCTGTTTGTCTGCAGCTGGGGGTTGCACGGGGTCGCCTGCCTCTGCTGGGGCCCCTGCTGCTGCATCTGCTGCAGCAGCGTTCAGCTGCTGCACTGCAGCAGCACGCCGGGGTAATGTGCTTTTAAGGGAGATGCAGGCTCCTTTATATTCAAAGAAAGGAGCAAAAGATTTGCCTGTAGATTGTCGAGGGGTTGATGGGGGGGACTACGGGGGCCCTCTCCTTCCTGCTTTTACTGGGAGAAGCTTGCTTGCTGCTGCATCTGCTGCTGCTGCTGCTGCAGCAGCAGGAGGG